ACCTGGAAAGATCTCCAAATTTAAAAAATAAGTAAATAAAACAAAACAAAATTAAACAAAAACATTTTATTTTATCTTAAATAACTAATCTGTAATCTGTTAAATTTAGTCATAAAACAATTTCAGATTACTAGAATGTAAGCATGGAGAAGCCAAATAAATGCTATATCGGCCTGCCATAAAGTGAGCTTCTGCCCGCTGCTGCTGCGCTCATAGCAGAGACTGACCGTAACAAGATATGACTGATCGAACATCCCCATCTTTTTATCCTCTCCGTGGGTAACAATACATAAAAACAAGGTTTTTCTCTGACAACTTGGGTCCCGCGACACGACAGCACGACTTTTCTACAGAGGAGGGGGGAAATTTTCTGAGGATTTATTCTCTCTATACGTGTTTTAAAACGCTGTATTTCTTCGTTTTCAGAATATTTCGAATACATGGCCCTATAAAAAACTAAAGAAGTGCTTTACCTGCCCGAATATGGGGTTTGACCTGGGCAGTCGGGCAATAGGATTTGTTGAACCCTGCTCGCGGGAACCTGGTCACACACAGGGTCTGTGTTGGTGATTCTTTCTGTAATATATAAAGTAATTACTGATAAGGTAACCAGGCTGTGGCTTCAACTGTCGCATTTTCTTAGAAAGAAAAAGTAGATTGCAAAGCTGTCGCATCAGTGCTACGTGATTTAAAAAAAGCAGAGTTTTCATCACGCATCTAATCACACACACACACACACACATCTTTCTATCTTTGTGAGGACCACACACAGCGCTCAGTCTTGCTTTGCGCCATCTTTTTACCCCCAAGTTTGGCGAGAGGTGAATATGGAGGGGCGCAAAAAATAGCTCTCGACTTGATTTGGCCTTATTTAAATAAAAATGACTACATGCCATGAAATTCTTGAAGTGGTGGGCCGTCTTGTTGGYGGGGGCCCACCCCCCTTGTATAATGGTAGGGGAAACACTGGCCTAAAGAAGCAAAAATCTAGCTAAAAGTATACGATTGGCAAGCTCAAAATAGCAGAACAGTAGCTTAAAGCTCTAAGAAGCAGAATGGTAGTAAAATGAGGCTAAAATAGAACAAGTATGCTCTAAAAGATTTTAAAGAGAGCAATGTTTAAAGGAATTGAGATTTTTATGTATTTGGAAAAAGTAATTCCATTTATTGTTAAATGTTAAATAAAAGTTTWAAAAAGTCAAACTACTGTCTAATGTTAAAGCTTGGTATCACCACCTGCTAKTCTGGAGTTTGTGCTGCCTGTTATGTTTTACTTTGGCCTGTTTGTATTATAGCCCTCCATTCTGTTTCAAAGAGGATCTAATCGTTGATATTGAGCATTTTGTTTTCTGCTTTCAGCTGTCTGTGGACACTCTGCGATTCCTCCTCTTTCTCTACATTCAACAGCTGAACCGCGTGTCTTTGCGCAAATCTCTGATTGGTGAAGAGTGGCCCAACCGCCGTTCAGAACGAGAGGCCAAGACAAGCTCTCAGAACAAGGTGATCTGTACTATTGTTGCATGTTGGTTGCAACATCCCAACATTTCATTTACTGAATAAGCTGAAAGCTCATGTGTTCCTGTAACCTCCTGGTTCTTTAATGTCTCATTTACTTTCTCTATTTGTTCTTGATCTGTAGAACTGGGATGATCAGGCCCATCTGTCATTTATACAAAATCATCTGGCAGATATTTTGTCACTGTTGGTGGAGCCCAGCCAGCTGTTACAATCAGGACAAGCCCCAAGAGACTGCCAGGTCAGTTTAGTATGTAACAGCAACAGTGTGTGAGTGTGTGTTAACAGTTTGGTCAGATCTTATATTACAGATATTTCTATRAATTTGTAGAGGTGGCTTTGAATCTCTTTTTATTCTGAGTTTTAGCAACCGGTAAGGGTTTAACTTTTTTTTTACAGCTTTCACTGTCAAGCCTAAGAATTTTGGTTTCATTATCAGATTGTCCACACTTTAAGTACAAAAGACACTCGTAAAAACACTGTTCACATTTGCCTCTACATGAGATATCAGATAGATGTTATTGACTTGAAGATGCAAACATTTTCTTTTTTTAAGATTTGAAAAATATATTTACTGACATTGGTTTCTAGCTCCTGAATGTGTGTTAAGTTTAACATGGCAGTTAAATTATAGTCCTTTTTAAGAAGGTAATTTGGAATTTGATGGCTACAACATCTCTAGACTGCAAAAGTGCAACAGAATGCTGAAAAAGTAAGTGGTACAAATAAGAAACAACTGGAGAAGCATTTTGCAATTAATTGGGTTAATTGGTGACTGGTCAGCAAGAGAACCAAATATAATGTATTTCATTTTTAGTAAACAGAACTCTGATCTGGGATTGGTGTCAGATCAAACATAAMGTTGGTGATGGCTGCCAAGGTAGATAGAGGTGGACCACAAAATACCGAATCTTGTTTATAAATTCAGAGCATGGATACAAAAGTCATTTTCAGCATACAGACTTTATCTCTACCTGGCCATATTTTAAGAAGTATTGTGTGWTAATGGTGCTTCTGTCAGCAATTTGAAATGTTACAAAAACCAGCCTGGCCAATGCGGTTTTTCAAGCCATRCAAACAAAATTAAGCTGTGATTTTTCAAGAACTGCTCAAAATGTGGACACACAGCTCTTTGGTCTTTTAGTCACATGTAGAGTCAATAAAATGCAGCTGAAAATTAATGCATTTTATTGCATTTTTCCTACTATTTTTGAGAGATTTAACCTGGAAAATGAGTATGATTAGTTGTGCTCGGTGACCAGGCTGACTGCAGTTACCTATAAATGCCAATGATTTGCTTCTCTTCATTCTTTGCGCTGAAACAAATGACTGCTACTGCCACAAAAAGTGGTTAAAAAAATACACTGCTTGGCCCAAAAAAAATGTTGCCACCAAAAAAATACATCACACACACTTTTGTGTGTGTGTTTGTGGGTGGGTGTGGCCTTGTTTTTCCTACAATTTTCCCAAAAAAGCAGCCTCGTCGGGACCGAAGTGCATGGTGGGGACCAATGACCGGTCCCCATGGGTCTAAATGCAAATTACAGGTTGGGTTTAGTCCAATGTGTGAATTGAGTTTAGGTTAGTTTTAGGGTCAAGTACCTGTGAGGTTAATTTTAGGGTAAATGGTCAGGGTTTGGCCATAAAATTTCCAAAAAAATGAATGGAAGTCAATGTACGGTCCCCACAAGGATATACAAACCAGACCTGTGTGTATGTGCGCGCACACACACCCGTTTGTTCTTCAGCCCCGTGGGGACCGTGCAGTGACTTCCATTCATTTTTTAAGACTTTATCGCATGACCATTTACCCTAAAATTAACCTCACAGGTACCTACCTGACCCTAAAACTAAACTAAACTCGATTCACACCTTGGTCCTAAACCCAACCCCCCACCCAAAATCAGCCTCCGAAGTTGTGGGGACCGGGCTTTGGTCCCCACAAGGAGCATTCGCCCCACAAGGCTGCATTTTCCTGAAAAATTGTCCCCACCAAGTAGCAAAAATAAGGACACACACACACA